ATCTATCTATCTATCTATCTATCTATCTATCTATCTATCTATCTATCTATCTATCTATCTATCTATCTATCTATCTATCTATCTATTATTTCTAGACCTGTGTGCAATCTACAGGGTCTACTGCACCTTGTACAATTATTCAGCCTTTTTCACATTTTGTCAAATTACAACCAAATTTACAACCCTACAAAGTTGTGCATAATTGTTCAGTGAGATATAAATTAGACTTGGTTTTAAAATCCTTTAAAAATACAATATAAAGAGCAAAATAATGCATCCAACCCTCTGAAGTCTGATACCCCTAAATATTTATTTTAGATAGGCTCTCAAGCTATGTTCTGCTTTAGACATCTCCCTTTACTTAAAGGTATAGTGGAGGATGTTCTTTTTTCAGGTGGATCGTCAAAATAAGTGGTTCTCCTAATTTTCTATTATTCTGGTGATATGTTTACATAAGGCCTTCCTACGTGCTTGCGGTGGTGAGAGTGACATAATGGAAAAACTGTCAATCTTCTTTTGGAAAATAAGCTTTTATGAGTGATGCAAACAGCAACTTTTAAACAGAGGGTGCACGAGGAGAAATGGCTTGTGCATGCTCTTGCACACGTTTAATAGGTGTTCTTTCTCGGTAGCGGGTACAGGGTTGTCCTTGTGCATTTTTTCTTTAAAGTGGAGAGGGTGGGTGTTTTAAAAAAATAATGAAAAGAGAGATGATCCACCTTGGTGCTAGAGAAGTTTCAGAGATAAAAAGCTCATGTGGGCAATCTGTAGATGGGAAAACATTTAGTCATTTTCTTTTCAAATTTTATATTTCTGTCATGCAGGGGATATCACCAAAATGGGATTAGATAAAGCCAAAATGTTTGTTTGTTATATAAATATGACCCTGCACACAACATCCTCGTAAAACAAGTTGGCAGCAGCAAAAAAGGTGACAAGATGTTTTTGCTCAACAGGAGTGAGTCAAAGCTAAAGTGCGATAGAAGGAGCTGAAAAGAGGGAAACCCTAAAAGAAAACCAATTAAATCCTAACAAAGAGTTGAGACTGGGGGGGTAATTTAATTTTTTAGCAGAACCCAAAATGTACAGCTTGACCTAAAAATGTGCCACAACTTTTCAGATAAAATAAAAAATACAGATCATGTTTATTTTCCCTCAAGTTCATAATACTGGACTACTTTTTTTTTTGCTCTGCTGCACAAAATTCCAATGAGTTCTGTAATAGCAAAATGTGGGGAAGTGTGAAGGCTTTCAATACTTATGAAAATGGTTTAAATGTTTAGGTTTGATGTTGCAGATCAGTCAGAACAGTTAAAGTAGTTACAGTAGGATCATCTTTATGTCCAGTTTATTCTGATTTATAATTAAATAATGGATTTTTTTTGGCTAATGTAGTCATGAAAAGTCATATTCTTTGCAAAAATGCACATTACCTCCAGCGTCAACTTTTTATTTATTAAACCTATATTGCTAACTATTATTATTTATTTCTTTGTGAAAAGCAGAAAATAAGCAAGCTAAAGCCATAATTTAGTCTTTTAAAATGTTACATATTATTTCAACCTTCTTACAAGTTGTTTTGACCACAGAAAAAAGAGCTTAAGGATAGTTTGGATGGGTCTTCATATTGCAGGAGTGTCACATCAGAAGGTGTAAATATTGACAGGTCACCTGCTCCTGAACAGGATGAGCTCATGAACTTTAGCAGTACGTGGAGCTGGTCTCATGTTTGTCACAAGGTTGGACTCAAAGGTCAAAAAAATTTCCTTCCACTGCCACAAATATTCAAGATGTCGAAAATGCCACAAGTGCTACTTATCCTCTGTTTTGCTGGGGCAGCAAATGCCCTTTACAAACAGTGGATTCCTAATACCAACTACGAGAATAAGACCAACTGGGATAAAGGAGATGTTCCCTGTGGCAGCGACATAGTCCAGTTTTCATCTCAGAGGAAGGTGTCTGTGTTTGTGGAGACCAGTCATGCCGTGCAGGAGATGATGCTACCGATGGATGGAGAGATTATTCTGAATTCGGGAGCTGGTTTTTATGTTGTCGCCGGACAGGACCCAGATTGTGGAACAGGAGTGAAGACCAAGTTCAAAAACTCAGAGGCTCTGCAATGGCTTAATCCAACTCTGTGGCAAACAGCTGCCACTCAGAACGACCTGCTGGACGGAAATTTCCTCTTCTCTGTGCATGAAGAGATGGTCCCTTGTCAGCAGGATGATGTTGTGTTCAAAGCCCTCTCCTCCTTCCGCGTGGACACCAGCTCCAACCAGAACACCATCCCTGTCAAATCTTTGTCTGTGCTGGGAAAGGTATTTGAAAGCAAATCTGAGTTCTCAGAGTATCTAAGCTCAGATTCAGGGCAGCTGCAGTTTCACGGGTCGTCGGCTGTCACCGTTGGCAACCCAGGTTGTGGGGATCCTACTGGCTGTGAGTGTGGGAACTCTGTCAATCATGAACGTATCTGCAGTGCAGTAACCTGTGGCTCTTTGAGCTGTGAGACCCCCCTGCTTCCTGTTGGACACTGCTGTGAGGTGTGTGGTGCCATTGTTACCATCCATTATACTGATGGCTTCAACCTGCAGAACTACAGAGAACGAATCCGTCACCTTTTTCTCATACTTCCACAATACAAGTCCATTCAGCTGGGCATGTCTAAAGTCTTGAAGCCACAGCGATTGATGAGAATAATCCCCTATGGATCATCACCTGAAATACAGGTTGTTATTCTGGATGGAGAGACAGGAAAGCTATCAGAAGCTCTGGCTCAGGACATGATCCAAGATATCAAAGCTCATGGCTCCAAATTGGGAATAACAGGAGCTGACATTCAAACAAGTAGTGAGCCTGGAAGCAGTGCAGGGACAGTGGTTGGAGCTGTGTGTGGAGTTTTACTTGTGATTGCACTTGTAGTGATTGTGGTTGTGCTAATCCGTAAGGGAGTTGTACAGATGCCTCCACTGCCCTCAATGCCTGCAATGCCTTCATTGCCAACTCTAAGCCTCTTCAAGAGGAACATCAACGTTGATGACGACCTCAATGGGGCCATTGACCGTGGATTTGACAACCCAATGTTTGATAAGCCTGACATGCTAAGTAACATTCCTGGTGTGAGCAGCACCGATTCCATCTTCATGACGCAGACCGGGGTTCATTTTGTGAATCCAGCGTATGATGAGAATGAAACAGACTTTACAGTTTAAAGTTGATTTTTCACACACAGTTTCCTGATTAAATGTAAGCATGCACTTAAAATATACAGAATGATCATAGATTTTAGTATTATCAAACTGATCATGTAATAGTGCTGTACAAGGAGTTTAATTAATTAAAGCAAAATATAAAGAGAAAAAGTGACATTGTGAGTTATTGTGTTTGGCTCTCTCCCCATTATTCACATTACATTCCATGGCAGTAAAACAGCAATAAAGCTGCAGAAGATTTGAAACAATCCACTGATGTATATGACTCGTATGTTTACAAGATTATGAACAAGGTGGTTGTAAATTTCTCATTCGTTGACATGCATGTGAATTACCTGCCACTGACACACTACATTTTTGCCCGTATTATGAAACCTCCGTAGATATTTATAACTCAGCAGAAAACGTGTTGCCGTCATTTTGCATGAACCAGAGTCACAACATTGTCTTTCTTTGACAGCCAGGCCGTAACATATAGGGGCTCTATGAAGTCAGTAATGTATGTGTAGAGTAGCATCATAGGGCCTGTTATATCGTAGAAAGACACCAAGCCGCGTTGAAAGTCCAGATATATGCCAACCCTGGTGACTTCTGAGACTTCCAAAGGAGTCTCCTCCCCAGCATGCCAGGCAGAGAAACCTCTGCTGTTTCTTCCGACGCACCAAGAAAAATCATTCCCAGTGATGCAGCTACTGCTTTCCTCTCCTTTACGATCTATGCTTTTGTAAGTGACTCCAATGTGGGCGCCCTCCCCACTCAGCTCTGCCTCAATGTAATATCTTCCCAAGTAGAGGCTCTCCAATGTCAAGGCCTGACGCCAATATTTAAATCGACTGGGGTGGTCAGGGTAGCTGTGTTGCCAGGGGCTGGTGTTGGTTAACTTTCGGTTGTCCGCTGTCAGACGTAGAAAATGATGAGTGGTGTCAGGGTCAAAGGTCAATCTCGTTGTGTCTGAAACAGGAAATGTAGTTTTATGGGACACTAGTTTTATGGCAATGACAAAAAGGAGAGTATATAAAGTTTTTAAAAGTGTTTACATGTCAAAAAGTCCTCCTGGGTCGCAGGATCAGGCAGAGAAGATGGCGCACACTCTTGCATGGAGTGTTTAGCACCTGCTTTATCAGTTGGTAGAAAAGTTAAGCACAAAATTGTTAAACTTGTAACATATTCTAGCTCCCATAGCAAACATGCAAAAAGCCATAAAAATGCACTTTTTATTGCAGCGGGTTAATTTTTACAAATCTAACCACTCCAAGTCAAATCTTTGCTTTAATAATATCTATTCAGAGGATAAAATAATCATTGTGAAAAAAATCCAAGATAAATGATTACTCGTATCTCTTAAAAATAAATTGAAATCAATGTAATAAAGCCTTTAACGTTTTGCTTGAATTGACTTTTTGAAATTGTGATTGGTAGCTAATTTGGGGTTATCTAGATTTTGAACATTTCAACTAACTAATGGTCAGTAGGCTGAATGAGGACCCAAGTGTGCCTTGTACTGTAAGGACTTACAAGCAAGGATGAGAAAAAGGAAAGAATAGAAAAAATGTTGTCATCTGAACTGCATTGAAGAGTGTAATCTTAAAGTCTTCAAGATTACACTCAAACACTAGATAACCCATGTTAACTGTTATTTGTTAGTGATACCCCCAAATAACCCATCCTACCATCATAAATGTAAACATTTGAAGATTGCAAATCTTTAAACTTTGTATGAAATGAAGGTTTTAGTTTTATTATTTTAGATGGGTCTCAGACATTTCAGGCAGCATTGACATAATTCTTATAAAAATGAGGAAAAGCAAATGGGACCTACTCATAAGTGTGATTGAGGATATGTAAGGCAGTGTGCTACTGTTAAATCCTGGTGAGGATTTTTAACACTGAGAACTTTTTTTTAATGCCAGAATATTTTTGACTCCACAAGAGAATCGATATTTGACCATTATGGGTTATTTAGGGGAATTATAATCTAAAACCTCTGGTCAATTCAAGTATTGGTTCATAAGAAACAAAATGAACCATTTTTTCCCAGAGTGTTCAGTGTCTAGACTGAAACCCCACAGTAAATCTGCAGAGAGCTTCAATAAAGAGATGACAAAAGTGAAGCCAGCAAGTTTGATGAGTGAAAGAGATAGTGGGAAATGGAATAGCCTCATATTTATACTCCAACCTTGTGAAGCATTATAGGGAGGGACCTGGAGGTTTTCCCTTGGGAAACATTTCATAGTGTTTTGAGCAATAGGGCTGTACAAAGTTTTCATAGTATATTTTGTTGAAAAAGTTATTTCTTAACTTTTTTCTCTAATCAATCAATATGCTCAATTTAAGTCTGATATAATTTCACTCTAGTTAAAAATTCCAAGGTTGGTTTTTACATCATTAAGCTTGATGCTATATACTTCAAGCATATCTACATTTTTAAAACGGTTAACCAGAAACAGCAGGGGTTAATTAGTACTTCTGCAACATGAGTTATCAAGTTATCTCAAGCCATTCTCAGTGGAAGTACAGTATATTTGATAACTGATGCCGGATTTAAGGCTTATTGAATCATTTTTATCCAAATTTGTTTGACTGATCAATTCAGTTCTTTAAACAGATAAGTCTGAATCTAAGGAATGTGATACAGCCCCTGGATTAACATATCATTAAAGGATAAATAAAACAAAAACAAAATTATATGCTGAAGTAATTATGTCTAAGCTTCATCTCCAATGATCTGGAAGATAATTTAACAAAAATGAGCTCACCACTTTTGCAGATGGAGCTCATTTTTTCACTGTAGGAGTCCAAAATCAGGCCACACAGCTCCTGAGTTACATCAGTCACTGCTTGAACGCATTGTTGTAAATGGTCCAGTCGACTGATGTGCACAGTGGGGATGCATACATCTGGCAATCTTTTTCCCCACTCTGTGTAATCCTATAATGTAAGCACAGCATACAAATATAATGGATCAAGTTGATTTGGTTTAGAAACAAACCAAAAAAAAAAAAAAAAAAAAAAAAGGCCATTATTTCTCTTTTCTCTGAACTGGAACCCATTAATTTTTCTATGGAGCCACAGAAAACCTTTATGTACACTGTCAACAGGCCTGTATCCAAAATAAACCCCCTCTCAGACACAATATCTTGGTCTAATCTGACATTACATCAAACCTTTGACCCCTAAACATACACCAGACTCTGTAATCTTCCTTCTTCATAACAACCTGAAAACCTTTTTTGACTGACTCTGTTCTACCAGTTAATCTGAAACAGAGGGTAAAAATAACTATCAAAATAGAATAGAATAGAAAACCCCTCTATAAATCCCACAATGGGGAAATTGTGGTGTTAACCCATTGTTGTTATATCATGTAAAATCATGTCAAAAGTAAGCATAATGATTAGCGTAACTGCATAAGTTACAAAGGGGCTATTCAAACTAAAACTGGTTAAATTTGATTAAAGCTGCTTTAAGACCCGTAAATCAACCAATCCCATTGTTTAGCGAAATTATACCAGTGAAGGTAGACTTGTGTAAGATTCTTTTTAGGTTTTAATTTTTTTTCTGCCTTAAATATTTATTTTTCTTTGTTTATTTGTTGTTTAAATAGTACAGGAAATATCATGAAATGTTGAAAAAGTTTACATGATATAAGAAAGGTGTGTTAAATCCTGAAAGACATTACCTTTAGAAAATCAACATCAGATTTGCTCTTAGACAGTTTGTTCATCTTGGCTGCAGTTTTCATCATCTCGACCCTCTTCTGCTCCAGATGTGCCTGGATGCCCTCTACTTGTCTCAGAGCTTGGTTCTGCTGTCCTTTCAGCACCGCCTCCACCCTGGTTCTGGCCTCCTCTGCAGTTTTCTGCAGCTTGGTGAACTGCTCTTCAACCATAACACACAGCTCCTGTACTGAAGACTATAGGGGGAAAAAAATTAAAATTTGCTTCATGTATTTATAGTGCAGATGATTTTGCTTTAAATAAATGTTTTAAAGGTAAGATTACCTTAATTAAAACGCCATTGCTTTGTAATTTTAGTATCACTTTCTCTACATCTGAGACAGTTTGAGTGATTTTCTGATGTTTCTGCAGGAGTTCAGTCTGCATATTATTTCAAATAAAATAGTAACACATGTTGAAAGGATTCTACAAACTTTAGCAGATTCAAAATCAGTACAAACATTAATATTCTTTTTTTTTTCTTATTTCAAAAGACCTCAATGTTTCCTCGAGCTTCCTCCACAGATATTGTCTCGTGCCCGTGGTGCTCCTGACCCTCGCAGTCCGCACAGATGCAGCAGCCATCCAGAAAACAGAAGCTCTCGAGGGGAAGTTGATGAACCTCACAGGTCTGACGGTCAATGTCATGGAGTGGATCCACCAAACGATGGTTCTGAAATTTGGCATTCTCCAGATGGGGTCTGAGGTGGGCTTCGCAGTAGGAAACCAGACACGTCAGGCAGGATTTGAGCGCTTTGCTCGGGGTCTCCATACAGGAATCACACAAAACGTCTTGTAGCAGTTGTGTGTTTGGTTTCTGATTCTCCATTTTTTCTCTCAAGCTCTCCTCAGTATCAGTGCTGATCGTCACCATATTCACGTACTTCTACCATAAACCCAGACCTGCTAAACTATAATTTAAATAAGCATAAGATCTACTTTGTTCATTCGAAAACGAAAGAAGATAGAGTTTCAGGCACAAAGACCCTTGAGTGCATGAGAAAAGAATTAAGAACCACGCCTATAGTATTCAGCTCAGACTGTCTCATTTTTCACTCCTCCCTTGTTGTTTTTACTCTCTAGATTTAGAATAGACAGGAAATAGGCTTCCAAAGATGGGAGTTAAACTCATGTTTAGCTTTCCAGTGCTGTAGAACAATAGATGTAGTTAATCAAATGTTATTTAGCTTTTACAGGTGAATATCACAAGAACACAGCTGCATATAAATGCTTTGATTGTTTTTCAGCCAAGAATAAAAAATTTCCCTTTAATTAGAACGTTGAGGCTGTTTAGACCTTTTTTTTTATCTTTTGACAACAGAATTGCAACAACTTCCTGACTATACCGCTTATCTCCATATCCACTTCCCTTCTGTCCTATCATGCAGCACAGAGGCAACACAGACCCTTGTCTTTTGTCTGTGAGCAACAAGTGTGGACAATTGAATATTTGGCCAAAGATCCAAGAACAATTGTGTTTCGCTCTCTGTTCTGTGGCTTTCTGTGGTCAGAGAAAGAAACATCAACATTCTTCTAACAGCTTCATGTTTAGAAATTGTGAATTGATCATTTTTTTGCAGGAGATTTAGTGAAAGGGCATAGGAGTTGCACTTTATCTGTTCAAAAAGTCAACCTGTTGATCTTACTGATTAAAGATAATTATTAAAGTAAAAATTTCACCATTCCCCAGTAGAACATTAGCTTTTTAGTGACTGTTGTTGTGGACACATACACACACTGTTAGCCATTAGTGAAATAACCTGCTGTTACCCCATTGGATGCCTTTTATTTAAAGAACTGTCCTAAATTTTTATGGCATACATTCGATGAGTTGTTGGGAAAATACTGACAGACAGAAGGGATCTCTTAACCAGACATTTTAAATTCAATTAATCATTATGTTCATTATCAAATTCAAAACAACAAAATGTTTAGAGGAGTGTTGTTTACTAAAAGCTGCTACTAAGGGGTCTAAGGTGTGGTAAGAGAATATTCTATACATTACATACTGTTTTTTCTATGATGTTGCTTTTATATTGACGATCATATGCCAAAATAAATAAATTTTCAATCACTTTCTGCAGATTCAAAGGTTTATGGATATCTTGAATCCAGATGAAATCCAATAAAAAATCTATTGAGAGTTCTGAAGATTGGGGTGATGGAAAGAAAGCTTTCAAACCTGAAAGACCTGGAGCTAATCGCTCAACATAAACTGTCAAAAATAACACTATGTGATGATATGAAGCATTCACATGAAGCAACCTGACTTAATCTTTTTGACAGATTAAATAACAGGTTCTGAACATTGAATGCCTATTTCAATCAAGTTAAATAAAAAAAATGACTAATTCATTAATTTTTTATGGATAACCCATTTCATTGTCTTATACTTTTTTAAGAGTGACATGTTCCATAGACTACCAGAAACTCTGTTTCAATAAAACCAGTTTTAATCTACATCTGTTTTTGAGATGTTCAGATAGATTGAAAGCTGAAACAGAAACACCTTACCAGTGCTAAAGGAACTGATCCTAATTACTAGTCTGTCTTTTAGACTCCTTTTGAGATTAAGCACAAAACTAAACTCACACACCATTCAAATTTGTGGAAAATGTGTTAAAGATAAACCAATTTAGACAAAAAAAGATTTTAAAACCAAAACTAAAATAGATACATTTAAAACATGTAATAAATTATAGCAAATGAATGTAGCAATGGGATTAATTAATACAGACATCAATAAAAGTTCTTCCAAAGCAACTGTCTGAACCCCAGCATGACCACCTGAAGAGATGTGAAGTCATTTGTGCTGGTTACTATCAATTTAGGCATTATCATGATTAGAATATATTTTTGGGAGAAGCTATAATGGGATCATGACTCAGTTGTTTATATTTAACATTTGATGATTTAAAAAGAACTTCCTCTCTTTATTGGTAATTCTCTTCATCACAAATACCATCTCCATTATTCATGGGTTTTCTAACACCATTTGGATAATGAGTTGACAAAAATAATTTCTTGCAGACATCAAATTAGTTAAGAGAGGACTGTGTCACTTTCTGCATCATCTACTGTTCCAAACCTTTACTTATTTACAGTATATGTTTAGAACATTTCGTTGTCTCTTCTTTGAGTATATTTTAAACCCAAACAATGGAACAACAATTAGTGGCACAAGAAAGAAAGAAAAGGCTAAAGTTCAACCTTTATAAAAATGCAAATCCACAAATACAAATTTGAAATCAGCGAGAGATCAGACAAAATCCTTTAAGAAAAACACAGGAGTGAGAAATGTATCCGGTGTGCCTAGGGCAAATCCACGAAAAAGTAATTGATGAGTTCCAGGTACGTTTCCCTCCCTGGTAAAAAGTTTTTCTGTTGTATTTATAAAACAGTATATCACTTTATTTTGAAAGACGAAATGTTATCATCTAAACTAAGGACCAATCTAAAATCTGTCATAATATTCAAGGAAGTAGAAAAGATGTTTGTGATAAAAACACAGACTATTATAGATTTTACCTTAGAAATGATCTTGGCAATTTCTTTCGGATGATTTTTTCTCTTCAAAGAGGGAAAATATCTTTTTTATAAAAACCAAATTCACCTTTATAAAAAACATGAGGCAAAACTCATTTATCATACAAAGCAAGTTTCTGTTTCCAGGGTCTGTTATGGGTGTATCCCAATGACCTGGTTCAATCTTAAGAATTGTATTTACAATAACACAACCTGACTTCCTGTTATTTGTCAAAACTTAATACATACTGTATCTTACTACAGCTTTAAGATGTATAGTATGTTAAGAGCACTGTTAATCAAAATGTGTAT